CGCTAATGACGCCATAAATTATGTGCAGTAACGATGCGTAATGTAATACTGGGGAATGACCTTAATCTGCCCGTTTCTGGCTGTAAGCCTACATCTGAGAAAAGGTACAGCATTTTGGGGGGTGAAGTATCGTTAATTATTGGCTTAGGTTTGTCCAAAAGATTTGTTTTGCCCCATTTTAGAATTTTTTGCAGGTAGGAGGGAGTATGAAATTATGATGTCATCCGCACCAGACTGAGCTCTTGAGCTAGATTTCTCAAACTGATCTTTTCTGTAAACGGAAAGAAAGTCAAAACAGGTAAATGTATGAAGCGAAGCAAAGTGAAGTGAAGTAAAGTAATCTTTACTTTTACAGGGTGGCCCATTCAGCTTGAAGGTTGGTATCCATAGGGACCCTGTGAAGAGTTGTGGCAGGCAGGCAGTATGAGACAAGACCTTTCAGTCTAGAAGCCCTATGAGAAAAGACTGGCTCCCAGCAGGCTGCACATGATCTATACACTGTAAACCTTCACCCCCACGGGAAGGGGGGGGGAACTCCCATGTGAAAAGGTCAGACCGCTTGCATCTAGCGTAGAGATGTAGACAACGAATGTTGGTCTTACTTTGGGTGTTCAGGACATAATGCCACTACTTTGAGCTGTCAAAGTAGGAATAAGAAAATGCTGTCAGTTTTATTTTAAGTGGTATCTTTTAAATCGTGAGCCACGCCCACATTAGTCTCCTGATAAGGGGTTTTCAAATGTTCTGACGATCTTCCCTGACCTTCTCATGAGGGAGTTCCCCTCAGGGACTGTAACTCATTACAGGAAACACCAGCCACAGAAACTTAGTATTTGACAACAGCTGAAAAACATGACTCAGTTGGAAAAGCAAACATTTGCTTTTTTAAAATGCTGGTCACACAAGGCCCACTCTCATTAGCTGCATCATCACTTTGCACAAGACAATGCAAGCAGTTTTGTTCTTTAATATTAAACAAAATTAATCCTACAGACAAAGTTTATCCTTCAGCACAGTATCGTACATACACACTGAAATTTAAGTGTTTTGGTGGGTAACAATATTACATGTGAAATATACATGTTAAGCCACCTCTTTTCTTCCTGTTCCACGATCTCTTAAAAAAAATCTAAACTAAATGTAATGTCATTTCCAAAACGGTAAATATACAAGGGAAATATGTGCATTAAATTACGAAACAAAAAACTGACCTTTTAAATCTACTTTATCATTTCTAAAGCAAACCTAGTATAAACTATGTCCTCAATTCCATGTCAAGAAAAGTTACTGTATTTCACACTGAGAAGATGCAAATTAGCATTAATAATTCATCAAGTACAAAAAGGAAATTATAATCCTATTGTTGATTAGGTTATCTGAGCATAATATACTATTACAAAGTTTACATTTTTCAGTTTTCTCCTAGTAAAATAAATTGCTAGTTTTAGTTTTGATTAGGAACTCATACATCAAGCAGCCATGCTAAACACCAAATTAAAATTTCTTCCCAAAACACCTTGTTGCTTGAACAAAATTGAACTCTCTTCTCACTAGTTGGAACTGTGACAAAATACTGTTTCTTGGGTTTGATATACAGTGATGTATCACTTTTTAACTCACTTTACATGCAACTAAAACAGAATTTTAAATATTGGCAATGGTTGTTTGAAGGCTGAATAACTGTATCCACCAAATAAATCGCTCTCCAGTGGACAAGTGTTAACAAAACAAACCACGCTTTCCACTGGGTAGTGATTTATCTGGTGGATAGCTTTATCCACCTTTTGAACAACCCAGGCCTGGTGGACTGTTAAATTATACCAGGCAATGCTGAGTGGATAATTTATATACATTTCATTTCATGGGTGAGAATTTTTGAAATGAAATATCCACATACCAATCAACTCGACATTGGCGTAATGTTAATGCATCCTGGATCAGGTAAGATTCATCCTGCTTTAAACAAAGGAACCTGAGTAATCATTGTTCAAAATAGTCAACAAATACCAAAACTGTACATGTTAAGATCACCATACATGTAGATCTTTGAGCTGATAAGAAAAACTCAGTTGCTTTTCTAATCTACACTAATGATCAGAGCCTTTAAAACTACTTTGTAAATCTTCAAAATGAACTTTTTGCTAAATGTTCATGTAAAATGTTCTACGGCAGAGAAACATTTCCTATTTACAACAATTTACAAAAAGTAAGGTGTCGTGGTTCGCGGAGGTATCACCCTGTCACAGTCAGGTACAGCTTTGAAAAGCTTGGGTTCTCTTGTATCAGCATCTGAGAATGCCAAAATGGAAGCAATATTTCCACAGCGGTAACAATAGTTTGGAGCTGACCACACAGTGACTAGTGTCTCATCAAACATGTACTTGTATCCTTCATGGACCAACTGGTGGGCTCGGCATATCAGCTTCAAATTGTTGATGTGTACAAACTGGTCAAAGCAAAAAAGAATTTTTTTAATCCACTCTATATTTAAAGATTGCTTAGTAGTTCAATTTATTTTCGTTCATTGTAATGACCAATACATACAACCTGCAGAACACTACACAACTGTTGTATAAACTTCTCACAGTGCAGTCAACCACCCAGCATTAGCAATTCAGCTATTTTTGAGAGTATATTGACCAAAGACCTATGCGCATGAGAAGTTACATGTAATTGACTTACCTCATTAGTAACTTTTGCTCCAAAGAGCCAGCCTGCTCCTCGAGGACTTATGGCCCAAGTGTCAACATCCTCTGGATCAGACCACACCAGATGTACAAAATATTAAGGACTTTTGAACACTCTAAACTGCATTTTAGCTGTACAACCCTCATAAGTAAAGGTATGCAATGTAAATGACTGTTTAGCAGGGGTTTCATTGATGTTTCCGGCAGGAAGGCATCTGATTTTTACAGGCAGCCAAAACTTTATGAACTTCTTTCTAGGAAAAACTCTCCTCTAGATGGTCAAACCAGGCAGGCAAATCATCCTCACAGCCGGCCGATTTGCTGTGCCTGGCCCTCAGTGAAACCCCTGATTAAGCTTTCATGCTTTTGCGTAGATTTTCATCATCTTCCTTCACACTAATTCTCATTTAGTCTTGTTACTTCAATGAAGGTGTTTGATAATTATTTATGTGGGAGTAAAATGTAACCCACCATTGTGTTAAATTGTAAAGAGCAATGCTGCATTGAAATGCTGTTGGTTTAAGATTACTTTTCGAGAATGGGCAAGCCCCTCCAAAAAAAGAAAATGTAACTTGGCTTATCAAAAAAGTCACTCCATGTTTTAGGAGAACTGCACCATGCTTCTTTGTGAAAAGTTACAATGCAGTACACAATGTTCTGCATTTTGAGCAATAAGGTGGCAGTAGAGGATATCACAAAATGCTCCTTTGTGTGGAATTTCCATGTTGCGATCTATGGTTCGAATCTGCAAGGAACCAAATACTTATTAGTATGCAGTAATTTAATAATGGATTGAAAAATGGTGAGTTCCTTTGATAAAAATTAATCTGAGACATAAGTTTAAACTTCATATTACATGTACTTTGTGAGCATAACCATGCAAAGAAATTTTAAAATTTCACTACCTGATCTAGGGTTCGGATATCTGGCGATAGCCCACCATGAACACACAGAATTTGTCCATCAATAATCTGAAAAGAAGTTAATTCTGTTAATGACTTTGCGCTCTTGATTTGTCTTACACTTTAAAAAATTTCAACTCGTGAAAGGTGCAATAATTTTAGTCCTTATCAATAGTTGTACCAATGATCAATTATCAATATTTATCATTGTAGTGAATGAGAAACTTACAGCAGCAACTGTTAAGAGATCAAACACTTTACAGCAGTATCTCCAAGCATTAGCATTTCCATACTTTGACTGACATTCATCTAAGAAAATACCAAAAACAGCATGTTACAGATTTTCAACACTGCACTATTCAAATCAGTGAAAGTACATTCACTTGAGGATATGCTGGTCACAACACATATCTACTTGAGAACTTATAAAATGGGTAAACCTGTCAGGGAAATGTGAAACAATGGCAGGGGTTATGTGCAATAGACTAGCATCCCATTCAAGGAGGGAGCAATACTACTACATTTATGTAGTTACAGTTATTGTACCTCACACTACAGAATATGAAGACAAATACCTGCACTGCTATCATCATGAGTGACATAGCTCCTCCAATCCAAACTGTATGTAGTTATATTTTTAAGAACAAGTTTTCACTTGTTTACCACACCTGTACAAAATATCATACATGTACATGTACAAAACTTGCAATTACATGTACCACTACACCTGTAGTTAAGACAAAGATGACAGAAACATACCATAAAAGCCATAAACTTGTGTGATCTGTCTACTTTCATGATTTCCTCTCAAAAGTGTAATGCGATCAGGCCATCTGCAATAACACAACGAATCACTTATCAAATAATTATGTGTAGATGTCAGGGAAATAATAACTTGGGATTTGCTTCATACTCAAACATTTAGGCTGCATACTTTTCCAATTAAAATGAATCACAAACAGTGAGTGAGGGTAAACTTATGAATCTACATACACTGTAGCTTGAGGTATGTCATCTACAGTATGTGTCAATCTGTGGCCCTTTTCATTGATGATGTTCAGAGGCACCAAGATGAAGGTCCAAAGTCTTTGGCAACGTTTAGAAGATTTCAATTTTTACTGAAAATCTTTGGGTAATTTTGGGCAATGTTCAGACCTCTTTGAGGGAGCTTCAGTCTAAATCAAAAGTCATAGGATGATTTTCAGTCTTCATAGGACCTTTTAGTAACTGTAGTAGATTTTGGATGAATGTTAACTGCAAATCAACTTTTTCTTTTAATGTTAATTTTGCCAGTANCAATAAAATATGTCAGACAAAACAATTTAACAAATTGTTCAACACAACCCCAGCTTTGTGAGTTTTACAATGAAACAAAGTAGATGAATTTTGGTCTCTTGTTTTAAAATGGCTTCGATAGAAGAGATGTGATTTTTGCCATAGTACCACTTTAATGTTATCAAATTAATTTGGTGGTGAGGAGACTTTGCCTGATGGCAAGTTTGTTGGTGATTACGTGAGTTCCTTGATGACCAGACTCCCTAGTGGTGAGGTGACCGTTATTTGAATCGAGAAAAACTGACAGGAAGGACTTTTCCTTGAGCATGCAAGAGCACATTAGTCTTTGATGCAACTGGACTTTTTCCTTTAAAAACAGTCAATACAGGTGGTCCACACTGTCTGTGATGCAAAGTAGAGTGCATATAACCTTTTGTTTACTGATATAAGCACCTAGCAGCTTGGTATCTGGTCATTTAGCCCCCAAGTCAATTAGTATCTAACCACTTAGCTCTCAACCAGAAGTCGAAAATAATGTCTGTTTCTCGTTTTTAAGTGTGAATGGTGGCCAATCGACTTCTGGTTGGGGACTATTCGGTTAGGGGCTAATCGACTTGGGGACTAAACGACTGGTAACTAGCAGCTTTCATGCAACTTTTCATGTTTGAAACTTTCAATTCAGCTTTCAGACTTCATGTGGTTTGTCTCACTGACAAACATCCGTTGCAGCCCAAAACATATTAAACGGAAATCACAAATAAAAATCTGCGACGATACCTGTCCATGAATGTCGCCACAAACTGTGACCGGCGTGGAAACTGGCTGAACGTTTGATTCTTCAAGCAGCAATTCGCAAACAAAGTCACACAGTTTCTGTCATCAATGTACAAATAATTCGTTTAAGTTTAGCAACTTTAAGCACGCTAAAAATAAATGTACATATTTTGATCAATAGAAATTACCTTCAGGTCATTTTCTGGAAGATATTTACATTCTTTTGCAATTTCAATCCACTGATCGACGTCCGCCATTTTGATTTTGAAATAGCACGGATCATGCGCAATGCTTTCTCGGCCTCATTCCTATGATGAGGCGACAACGCGCATTTAGCGTGCTACAATCAATCAATCCACACGCTACAGAACAAAAAAGTCACGTAAGTCAGGTGATCGACAAAAGGCAGTTCAGAGTCTTTGCAACGTTTGCAGGGAGTTGCTGCCCGGGAAATTCTTGTTGAAGTGAATTACCGAATTGCAGTAAGCGGGGCAATAAGCGATTGGCCGACGCGATGAAGTCTTCTTGATTTGAAACGATGTCCAGTTTTACGACTTTTATAAAATTTTATTTTTTTTATATTTCGCTAACCTCTAGACAATACAACTTAAGATGCTTTGCTGAAGTTATTGCAAATTGCAGTTGTAAACAAATCAGTTTGTGGTGCCATACTACGGTGGGGTTAAGCCCTTCAAATGCAGAAAAATCGGATTTCGACTAATCCCTTAATTCGAAGAAACTCTAGAAACTCGACGTTAATAAGACACAAACCGCTTGTTCAATTAAACTCCCACGCATTGTAAAGCCAACCGTACCCTAAACATGAGGTAAATTTATTTTCTTCAATTGATCAGGTCTGTGTTCAGTGTCGTCGTAACATGTTGTCCTTGAGAAATGTTTCCTCCTCGATACAAACCTATTTGCCTTAGTGGAACAAGTTCACATTAGAGTAAAAACAAAGAATTGAAAATGTGACTTTCTTGTGTCAACAATTTATTAGGCAAAGCTTTCTTGGGGCAGCATCAAAATAAGCCACACAATATCAGAGCAAAACACAAAATGATGAATGTGCTCCAGCAACTTATAGCTACTTTTTTTGTAGATCTATTCTCCAGCCGCCGGAAGACCAACAACTAAACTTAATTCATAATCAAGCCTCTGCCTTTTCAAGCTCTTCATTTGATGTCTCTTTTTTTTGAAGTGTTCTCGGCTGAGACCGATCAAAAGAAATTTTCTTACGAAGACGCTCAATAACCGGCTCAGATTCAGAATCGTGCGGAAATCTGGGGATGTGCACTTTAACTTGCTTTCCTTTGACCGTCATCTGCATTGTAACATATCCTTTGCAAAGTGACCGCCCCGGCCGAGCATCGTAGGCATATGTGACTAAATCATCTTGGGGGTGGTGTTCAGAATGCGAAGAAAGCACTGATTTCTTTCTAACATTCGAAGATAACGAAGCACTGCTCAGTTTCTTTGGTTCACTTTTACCTCCTTCTTGGCTTGGAACGACTTCGTGATCCGGCGGCGCAATGCTGAGTTTTCCTGGAGGTACTGTAACCCGCCTCTTTTTGCACAACTCCGCTGGCTTTTCACGGGGTAACTGGGTCTGTTCGTTTGCATTTGATTCAGACGAGTCGGCTCGCAACCTGCTGTTACTTGACTCCGTTTCTACGTTACGTACGTGTTGTACTTTGGGTTCTCGTGACTCAATAATACAAGCACGACTCTGTCTCTCCATATTAGGCATTCCTTCTTGAGGTTCAACGAAAGCCACCCGCGCAGGTGGCCTGGTGCTAACTTGTTTCCGTCTCAGTTCAGGGGTCGAATGCACTTTATTGGTCGCTATGATTGACGTACGATACACATGAGGGCTTCCTGGTGTGATCACATCGCGTGATATTGATTCGTTATCGTGGAAGTCTGAAGGGCTGTCTGAAACGCGAACTTCCGTTAGACGATCAAAGCTGCCACACGAATTTGATCTGAGTTTCTGTTCAACAGCTGGGAAGCTTGACCTTTCCTCGGTTCTGGTTTTATTCTCGAAATACAGATTTTCTGCCCAAGCTTGTTTTCCCGGGCCAAAGAGGATTTGGTCTGATTGCGTAGTTTTTTTCTGTTTGTCTTGGCAAATCTGTTTTTCCGAAATAGGTATCAAACGTGTATGGCCGGGTGACTCATCAGCTTTCACCTCTGCTTGAGTAGTGTTCTTCGAAGTCTTCGCCAACCTTGGAGACAAAATCACACCCCGATGGTCTACTCTTACATTAGGATCAAATAAAGTTTCTTCCGATTGTTTTTCCTCTTTTTCATTGAATTCCTTTAGTTTGTCGGTGGACAGCTGAACAAAATTTCGCCTTGATCCTGGTCGGCAAGGTGGCTCGATAACACGGAACTGATGCCTCGCTCTGGACCGTGTCATAACACTAGAGTTCTTTCGCTGTTCCCCGCCGGTGATTTCTTTCTCCATTTCTCCTGATCCGTGGATGTTTATCTGCGAGAAGGCTTTCATAACAGGCTCACTTTTATGCGTGTTTAATTTCGGGCTTCTTGATGCAGACAAATCGGAAACGCCAATTTCTGGCATCGACAATCTTTTGAAGGCAGCCCTCACGTCACCAGACTCGTTCACAGCAGTGCGCGTGTCGATTGTGTACCCTTGAGATCGCAGAAGCTTTCTTCTCTCGGCGCTAATTCCCGAATTCTTGCGCACGCTTCGAATCTCCTCAATCTCTTTCTTAAGAGAGTGTTTCTCCACGTTCAACTCAGCATATTTCTGATTCTTCTTGCTATCCAACACTTTTAGCCTTTCCTCGAGTAGAAATGATTCAGTCTTGTTCATTCGACGTGTTCTGATAAGACTCTCACACGTGATAGAGGACCCTGGTTGTTTTGCCGGGGAAGCCATTCCACTAAACTTCTTAAGACTTTCTTGAACACGAGACAGGAGTGTACATTTGTTAATAAGACGATTTGCATGTAATCGAATGCTAGAGAGCTTAGAGGCTGCTTCAGTGGAGTAAACAATGGACTACTTGAGAGTTCTTTTAACGAAAAGCAGCACAATAGTTGACCTTGTATCCAAGATACACCCAAGCTTAGCGAACCGTCAGGTTTATTTCTAAGCGTGTGACAAATCACGCTACCCAGGAGGAGGGATTCACGCAAGGTTGCATCCGATTTCACCGAACATCGGAAAGCTTTAACAGTTTTAAATAAAAAAAAAACTGAAGAGTATTTCTCAGTATGCCCAGAAACGTTTTATTGCTTAACCTAATAGGACCAGATATGAAATATAAATAGTTCGTTATACCGGAAGTTCTAAGTTGAGTCTAAGTAGAATTTGTACTCTTCATGAGGAACTTGACAATCATAATTACCATTACAACCAAAGGTCTCTTGAACTGAAATGTTATTTGGCATTTTCGTTTAATAAAGAAACTAATGGAATTTAAATATTTACAGCCGTGCGGCTGTTTTACCGAAGTGTTTGGTTTATTCGTGGTTAAATAATTTATCAACGTTGATTTGTGAACAAAGGACAGGACAAAGGTATTCAATCTGACTGAATTGCAAAAGAGTGCGGCATATTCATTGGTTGGAACAATTATCTATGAAATGACATCCACTGACATTTATACAAAAGGAAGTTTGATGACAAGGCAAATTAGTTATGAGTTATAAATAGTGGCATATGCTTGTGTTTGATCAACCGATATATGCGTGTCGTTTTAGCGATGAAAGGTGTTTGGAGAGTCTTGTCTTCCTTGTTTTTAACCGGATAATTTTCAATTTCCCTTTGATTAGACGGAACATTTGGATATATTGCTTTCATTTCAATTTCGCTCGTTCCTTTCCACTGAACTACAAGCAACAGAGTCCGCGATTTGTAGCTCCATCGCGCCTTCGAATATTTTTCAGTTATCGCAAAACGAAGAAAGATGATCAAAGATCCTCCAAAAGTGGGGAGCACTAGCCTCGATTGATTGTTTTCTTTATATGTAAACTAGCACAGTTATGTAGATAAAGCAGGGCAAGTTAATTAATCATTGGGATATATAGTTTCACCCTGGTTTCAGATCAAGACTGGTAAGTGTCCTGATGCGTGAGCCATTGCAATTAAAAAAAATATCAAATTGTTTATTTTCTCATTTTTGTGTAATCCGTGTCTCATTAACGAGAAATAGACTTTGAAATTACATTTCATCGTGAGGAACTGGTGGAAAGGCTAGACCCGAAACGTCTGCTATAAACATCGTCTTTAATTGGGAACTGCGTTATTACTATTTACAACTTTTGAACTGTTAACTGTGCACGCAGCAACTGGTCCTTTTGGATTACGAATATTCACTGAATATTTATTGGTAGAATCGTAATCAGCCATAACAGAACACTTGAAGGCATCAGTCGGGTCAAACTCGAAGCTCGTGCGAATCAAATGAGGACAATGAGCCAATCAGGTAAATGGAATAACTGATCAAAAAGCAAAAGTCCACTGAAACCAATTGAGGTCGTCGAATCAAAATAAAAAGGCTGCAGTGTTGTGTGTTTGTTTATTTTATTTTGTCTTTTGGAGATATGTTAATCCAGCCCTCAAGGGATGTCTGCCCTTTACGCTGTAGGATGAATGTTGGCCACGAACAAACAATGAATTCCTGTCTGAAACAGTGGTAGGCAAAGCTCACTTCGGTCTTTTCAATACAATGTAACATAATTTTGGTGGTAGTTTGAACATATTCATCATCAACTTAGTTGCTTTCCAAATCATATTGGCTATGCTTACGGAAAAGTAATGACCGGGGGGTACTCTGTAAATCTTTGGGTAGGGGTGTGCCGCTGGAACACTGAAACCCTTATTACCCTATACTAGACCATGATCAGCTTGATTTTGCGATCCTACCGTAAACTTCCGAAAGTAAGGACCCTCTTTACTTTCGGAATTAGCAGCCTTTGAAGATCGTTACTTCTGCGGGGTCGTTACTTTCGGGAAGCAAAAAAGTGGATATAAAATACTGGAGATAAAAGACAGTTACCTCGATATCACCGATAGTTACCTCGAAGAAACAATTTCCTTTCACTCGACATACGACTGGAGAGTTTTTATCTTTCAAGGTATCCATGATATCGCTGGAGCAGATGAACAACACAAGCCGTCTTGGCCGCAGTTCAGATGGAAAACATACGAGTCCAAGTATGGTTATTAGGTTTAAAGAAGCTCAGTGCGCCGCTAAAAGAGTACCCGAATTTTAAACATTGGAGTCGACACACTGAATGTAGTGAATGTTTGTGTTCGAAAAAGGAGCAATTCCCTGAATTCCCTTCAACAATCTCCATCGCTTTCTGAACGCTCTCCACTTGAGTATGCGAGAATAATGTCACGTGAGAGATGCGTTGATATTAGGGCTTTCCACAAGTTGCTCGAGATTTCCCCAAAAGTTGCCAGCGATTTCTCAAAACGTTGCTCAAAACGTTGCTCAAAAAAGTCAAAAGTTGCCTTTTGTAACGAAATTTGCTCAAAAGTTGCTCCAAAACAAGAAAACGAAAAAAAGTGTTGCTCTCTTCCTCTATTTGGTCTGATGCAAAAGTACGAGAAAAGTAAGATTTCTAAGCATTTTTGTGTAATTTTGCGGCGTAACCAGCGTTGCCAAATAATTTTGTCTTAATTAAAACCAAAAAATGTATGAGTAAAGACTTCGCATCAATATTAATATTATATTAATCTCGAAAAAATTCTTCACCTGAGACACTCGAGTCAGTCGAGTGTGAATCTTCGTCCGCCATTTTGAATTTTAAAAAAAAAAACGCTGACCTAGCAGCCCGTCTGCATCATCTTGCAGCCATGATCTGCCCCCGAGGGGAAGGGGATCTGGCTTCTTTCTCACAGGAAATCATTAACTTGTCTACTAAAACATTATGAAATAAGGAAGCAAGGCGAATTTAAGCACTAAAGGCTGCTCCGATTTCTCAGAATTGATGGAAAACTAGAAATTGCTCAGAATGCAAAAAGTTGGTCGAGACGAAAAAAAGTTGCCCGAAATACAAGAAGTTGCCAAAAGGTTGCCGAACAACTTGTTGAAACGCCTATTTGATAATATGGTTCGACTAGGCGCGCAAAGCATGCCTGTGAAATATGTCCGAAGGAAGGAAATTCGTAAAAACAGTTCTTTAAACATCAGATCAAATTCTTCGTTCCAGTTTAAATCTATACTGCTACCATAACGTTGGGCTCTTCCTACCTAGACTGTGTTCTCAGTGGTCGGCAGGAAAGCTAATCAGATACCGTAAACTGTTTCTACTTCATAACAGACTGCTGTGCTACTCTGCTTTAACAATATCTCAGTATTTTGGTCGAGTTTTCAATTTAAATTTGAAGAAACGTTCCATTTAATACGCTCCTGTTGAAAATCATACAGAGTTTTAATTTTTAATTTTTACAAAAAGTTCATCTTCGAATGTTCCTGTTTCTTGTTGAAAATTCTAAGGGTTTTTTTTAACACGGCGCAACATGAACTCACGAAATACGAACTGACATTTCACAACGCTTCGTGGCATAAGCGATACCTTCCGTTGTTGTAAAGCTAGAGTGCCTTAAATCAAGTGACCGTACGGCAAATTTCACTTGACTATTTTTGGTGGGAGAGGAGTGGACTCGTTACTTTCGGAGGGCTCGCTACTTTCGGGGGGTCGCTACTCTTGGGATTTATTAGCGGCCACAATTTTTGACGCTACTTTCAGGGGTGTCGCTACTTTCGGGAGTTTACTAAGCTGCCTGAAAACCATACCCTTCACAACGGTACATACCCATCTAACTTCTAGATGGGAGTGCCCCCCTCCCCCCGGGCAATAATGCAAGCAAGGAATGGAAAACGTACAAGTCGCAAATGATTCCCATTACGGCTTAAATCGCCTGAGGCCAGCGACGTCAGCATTCAGTCTGAGAATGTAATTAAGGTCACAGTACCAATACCCAGAGAGAGAGAGATTTCCTTCTCTTTCTACACGATGAGAGACGAGAGGGAACTCACCAACCAAAAATGTATCCTCTGGGCACTGTCTCCAGTTTCATTTTTCGCTTCCTGGGCAAAAATTGTAGAGACTTTTTGAGACTTTATTTTGATACCTATCTGTGTGTTTCTGACAAAAAGTCAGTTAGAGAAACGAGTTTCATTTTCTCAACAAAATTTATTTTGCCCTTAAAAAAGAACGAATTGAATATAAATCTGACTACATTGCCTTGTAAAGGTAGTATAATTAAGATGATGTAGGCAGTTCTAAACTTTGAACATAATTTCGTGGAAAATTTGTTTGAAAAGAGACATCCTGTACAGTAGAAGCGGAGAAAGACACCGCCGTTTCTGCGCATGTCCAGAACGCAATTTATTTCCTTTTTCCAGCCACAGGTCGACTGATCCCCACTGCAGCTTTTACAGCCGACTTTGCCCGGGCTCTCTCGACCGTGACGTCATCCAGACACTCGCCTGGTGAAAACTTCGGTACATACACCTTGACTTGCTTGTTGCCAATCGTCATCTGCATAGTCATGTAGCCTTTACTCAGGGCCTTATCAGGCCGCGCATCATATACAAAATCATGGCTTGATCTCCTTCCGTTCACTTTTGGTCCTTTCCTGACCGGGTGCGTTGGATTTCGCTGACGTGGTTGGGGTGCACTGTTCACGCGTCCGGCGCTTCTTTGTTGACTGTTCTCGCTCAACGAACTTCCCCTCCTAACCACAGTCCTCTCCATGTACGATCCATCGGAAGGCATGCAAGCCTCGCTAAGCTTATTATTGGCCTTCCACGAGACTTTCCGATCTGGTTTAGCCGAAAACCTCCGATCTGCTCCCTTCTTGTTTTCTTCATTTACAATAGTCACGCTTTTCTTGGGGACCCGAGGACTTGTTTCTGGTGTGTGTGATTGAAACCACTTTGCACCCGATGGGCTGGGTGGAAGTTCAATGTCTTCATCAGTATCTAAACTCATTCTTCTCATTCCAGCAACAGTACGGGACACACCAGTGTTTCGCGCACCAGAACCCACAGTTAATGACCTGGGTCGCAATCTTGGCCTGATAGAGGGCTTTAGAGGAATTGTCTCTTCTAAAACCACGTTATTATTGCAATTTTCCCTCTGCTGATTATCTGATTGTTGTTCTTGTTCGGCTGATTTCTCGGAGGGATTCGTCTCACTTACTAAAGAATCATTACCGCGTGACTTTTTCCTGTTGTTTCCCGCTACTTGTGAGCTTTTCCGCGATAGCTTTCTATATGGTACCTTGCCTTCGTTCTCTTGAATATTAGCTGGACATGTACGACTCCTAGGACGCCGACTAGCCTGCCTTTCTCTCTCAGCGTAGGCAGTTTGTGGCCTCAAGATTCCGTATTTCCTTTCTCTGCTCGTGAAGTTCTCAAGGGTGAGCAATTTCTCGTCATCTTCGGAGTTTTCGTCTTCAACATTCTTAAAGTTCCTTCTGGACCCTGGCCTTAAAGGAGGTGTTATGTTTCTGTAGCGGAACTCTTTCAGGTTTAACGCCGGCACACTGTGACATCGCCCTCGACTATCGGTCGGCACGAAATCGATTGGGTCCTCATTGTCGGAGTTTTCATCTTCGAGACTTGGCGTCACGGCCAAATCAAATTTATCGATATTGAGTTGTTTTCTAAGTGTGTCTCCGTCATAGAAATCCGAACAAGGTATATTGATGTCTTTTCCATTTGGTGCGCGCACCGTAAAATAATCCACATCGCCTTTTTGCTTGGAAGGCAGAATCCGCAGGCCTTTATCACGCAGAAGCTTTCGCCTCTCAACGCTTACTCCGACATTTTTCTTAACTCCTTTGATTTTGACCAAGTTTTGGCGAACGCCATCGATTTCGTCCGAGATTTGTGAATAGTTATGTTGGCTCTCGTAGTCAATTGTTTTCACTCGCTCCTGTAACCGAAAATGTTCGACTGAATTCATCCGATGTGTTTTCAAGACTCTTGTGGAGGCGACAGATGGTGCCTCACGGGCACGGTTCACGAACATCGTGCAGAGAACAGACAGTTTGTCAAACTCCAATCCGCAAACTTTTGTTTAGCAAATAACAAACTATTTCTGTTGTTGACCCAGCGATATTACGGTGCTTTATTGTTCATTAGTTAGTATTTGTAATTGGATGGTTGGTCTCATGAGAGTATATTGTGCAAACCTAGTGTCATTGTAGTTGCTGGTTCAAATGCACCATTCATTGGATTAAAAGATTAATTAAGTTTACGCTCCGATACTCACAGGCGATGTATTTTGTTATTCTCCCTTTTAATTTCACTCCAAATTAAGTAATGAATCCCACACGGGTTGACATTTTTTTTTCTCTCTGTTGAAAAGATGAATGAAAACTGTACAGAAATTATTCACAGAACCTGGTTAGCGAATCATTAGTCCAGATAATGAGCGGTGAACGGCCACTTAGTTTGCGCATTTTAAATCCATTTTTAGCCGTTTTACAACAACTGTCGCAATAATGGCCTACTTATCATCACAAAGTATACGAGATGTCACACAAAACCGCAAATGATGCTCGAAAAACACAAAGACATACTCAGTAATTGGATCAATCGCATTTTAAGCGCGAGTCAAAACCAAGTTTTTTTTAACACTTTTATTGTTAAAGCAAGTCATTAATCCTGACCCTGATGCAAAATGCATCAATTCTAAGCTTTTAAAAATCAATTGATCCAAGTGAAAAACTAGTTCTAATTATCCTATTCGTTTCACTGAATAGCTAAAAGAGAAGACGCGCAAACTAATATGTAACGAAGTTCAAGAAAAAAACAAAACGTACATACTGTCCCAGATGACATCTCATGGATCAGCAACAACACTGAACTTTATTCACTCGTACATTTACAGTTTTACAAAAAATATCAATAGAAGGAAAGGAAAAAATGTACAATTTGAGTCTGGAGATTGAAGTAGCCTGAAAGATCTGTGGATGATTTATGATTTATACCTTATCGTACCCATTCGAGGCGCTTCGGTGGCATGTCAGGCGAGTTTGGACGAACCATGGTTCTTGTTTACTCATGGTGAAAGCAAACGAGCCTAGTATGCCGCCGAAGTGTACCGAAAGGGTCCAAAAAGGTTCGATTAGATTTTTACTGTAAACAAAGTCAAAAGTCTAATTCCATATCAGACCAGTGACTTGATATCGCAAGATATCAGGACAGTAGACACGCCTTCTGATCGGCTTCTTTCGAATCTGGGCAGAGTAAAATTGGTTGTAAATCAATCAGAACGACGGTGGTCACTAACCCTTTACGCAAAACTAGAGTTACAATGAGTTCAACTCGTTTGAACGCTGAAAAGACTTCTCTCGGCCACGGTCGAGCGTCCTATAACATCTTCAATCTTTGATGTGGCGAATCACCCCCCGTTTGATAACCACTTAAGCCATGTTTGCTTGCTGAGTTCACGGCGCTCCTATAGATGCAACTGATGAGTTAGGACTCAAGGCTGGACGATCTCAATTAGAAACTGGAAACGTTTTTGAATTTTGTGACAAGTCGCGTGCGATATTTTTTCGCGACTGTTTTTTTTTTTTAATTTCCCGACCGGCCATTGGTTACTTGGTCAGCAGAACCAATCAAAAGTGACTTGATTTGTCATGCGCCCGTGAGATGCCTGTAACCTGTATCACGCACCTCACTTGCCGCGACACTGGCTAAAATATTTGGATACCACCAGGTAACAAGGCATAATGACAACAAAATATTTAATCTCTTCTTTAGAAGAACCCAAGTCTGAAATAGATCATTCTCAGGGTTTTACATGAGAAACTGAACTAAATAGCCTAAATTTCAGCCGTAGTCGAGGAGACATGCTGTGAAATAAAGTCCACATGAAATATGTGGATTTTTGCCGAGATTAACGAATACAGCTGAATACAGTGCAAATTTAACCTTCTAAACCTGTTTAAATCTGTTTTTTACAAGGCAAATATCGTGGAATATTTGTAATTGCTTTGCAACTTATTTTTATTGACTGAGTGGAATCGGATAACAAACTGCGCGTATTTTAATGTTAGTTTTGGAAAATATGGTGTTGTCAGATGAATAAAATACGTATTTCCTTGTTGATTTTAGATGTTTCTATCATCTCCACCTGCTTGATAGACCAGGTCTGATGTTATAAGGAAAAGTAAAGTCTATAAGCCATGTAGTACACTTTTGAAAATTAAAGATAATGAAGGCTTTTCTTGCAGTCCGCAATTCTGATTGGAGAACTTTTAGAATCTGCAGATCAACAGCTGCAACTGTGAAAGCCGCTATTTTCATTTCCAATCACTGGTCAGTAGAGAAATAAATTCTGTTTATTTAGACGGCGTTTAAAAATCATATCAACGAGTCTTGCAGTTTTTCGAGCTTCAACGGCAAAAATCACAATCAATAACCGACCCTCTGACGGCCATAACCGCACCAAATAAACGAAAAGTTTCGGAAACAAGATGAAGTGAATAAAAAACCTGGCTTACTATCGTTTTACTTTTGATCATGCTTCTGTTCATCCGCTTTAACGCGACAACATTAAACATTAAATGTTTGTCCTTTTTAAGATCGACCACATGAGCGAGTCTTCATCAAAATGTTTTTTGTCGAGCGCAATCTCATAGTCTTCTGAAGGACTAAAACATCTCGACGGACATTTGATTCACTCTGGAGGTCGTAACTCTGTCTTGTTAACAAATCGTTCCTTTTCACTGGTCCTGTTCTCCCCGGGCAGTGATTCCTTCTCGATAACTGTGACGTTTTGGCCTTTTTGTCCCCAGCAGCATTCCAAAAATTCGCAAACGAGTTGCACAAGTCCAGAAGCAAGACAAAATACAAAACAAACACCAGAAAAGCGGCCATCTCAGTATTCATGTCGATAGAAGTCACCTTCAAGCGTTTGTTTGGAAAGTGTCCACAGTTGACAGCTTCATGTGGTTGTTGTTAATTTCAAGCAACGGAAACGACCTACGAAATACTGTGTCTTGAAAATTAAACTTCTCAATCCCGAGATTGTTTTCCCCTTAGATAATTCATAAATGCTTTCTTTTCCCTCGCTTGAATTGGCGAGCTCCGAAAGCCACTTTGTAACGCGTTTACACTTGATGTTAGGAACACCTGCCAACATGTGCCAAAGCATTAAAAAAAAACCTTATTGTAGTTTGAAGAAAAATGATCCGCAAAAGATGAAATGATTATTCACTTAGGGCCAGCCTAGCAAATTGATCAAGAGAAACCGAAATCAGTTCAGTCGTTGACGTAAAACGTAGTATGGCAGATTTGACAGTGTTTTGCTAAAATTTTCTAATTAAACCAGCACGAAATTCAATTACGGTTTTAACCGCGACACACTCAGCTTTTAATAAAGAGTGGCCAACTAAAGTTTCTCCCAATAAAATAATCCAACTATAATTTGTTGTCACATTTCAGTCTTCCTTTAATCACTCAAAATTCATTTCTTTTGTTTATCACAGTCCGTCTACAGTAGGTTTACGTAGATAAAACTAGATCGCTTATGGCTATTTAAAAATCTGGCTTATATACATTTTTCAGATCATTACAACGAACTGACTCCACCGAAACCAAAACCTAAAACAACATTGAACCCAAAACGGGTTCATCTTGGCTTGGCGGAGCATAAAACAAACCACAAACAGACTGCGAGGACGATTTCTTATCTAAATATGATTCCGTCTCTTTTAACCAATATTTTTTCTACATTAATTAATATTGGTAACATTCTACAGCTAAGCAGATCTTTTCGCTGCTTATTTACCTCGCTAGACACACAAACTAGTTAAATCTTAAGCTAAGATACGATCGAAAATAAAATGTTATCGATACAAAAAAAACTCTTGAAAAGAACCATTAAATGAATTTAAAAATTCAAAAAGATAATTCAGTATGGCATGCTAGGAAACAAATTCCAGTTATCAAACTATTTTTTTTATTTGATAGCTACATTCTTCTGCTAAGATTTTTACCATTTCAACGCCTGCTTTTGTTTTCCCGAAAACATCCACTGGTTTATTTTTAACTAAAATCGTTCAATTTATTAGGTCACCTATGAGCCTTAACAGAGTTTAAAAAAGCGAACTTAACAGAAATAAAATTCTGGCTGTTATACAAACTTCTCAGTTTTAAACTTCGTGAGGATGTCTAGGTACTACAATTGAACGGCAAATAACAATCAGTAGATATTTTTGGGGTGGGGAGGGGCGATGTAATAAGACATGTATTACTCTTAGTTCCAGAATCTAGCCAATTAAAACATGTGCGTCTAGAGTCGACTTTATCTCGTGTCAAGGCTCCGGCGAATAAAAGAGATAGGTAACTCTAGAATGTGCCAGGATAAATTCGGCACGAGTCTACCTCGTCCACGGTAAGTACATGACGTGTCATCCGCACGTGATATGTTTATCTAACATGTGACAGTTTCGAACTGAACATGCTGAAGTTTGTTAATAAAGATTTCAATTGAAAGGAGGAGCTGGAAATTTGCCAGCATTATGAGTAGCAAAGGCGTTCTAATGAAGAGCCAAAAATAAACCATATGTTTTTTCGTGTTCAATGCTTGAGGGCACCGAATGGGGAAAACATGTTTTCTTCATTATTTTTATCAAGTAAGGATATCCAGTGCGGAGCAGATAGCTTTTACGCTTGAAGCAATTTGCAGGAGTGGAAAGTTTATGGTTTGATAACGAGTGTCGTTTTGAAAAAACACTTAGACTGGAAGTTTCTTAGCAGTACTGATAACTGAACACACAAGAACGCTCCAGGTGTCGAAAACCAAACAAAGGTATGATCCAAATAATTTTTCTTTTTTTTTTAATCGCAAAATTCTTAAAACTAAATTGAATATATGCTAAACAGAAGCGAGAGTTTATACTCTGATTGAGTTCAGATTGAAAGGGGCAAAATTCGTTTGTTCTTCGGCAAGCAAACAAGTTTACATGTTCGTATGAAGAGTTCATCACTAACGGAAGTTTGGCTGTTCATTCAAACACGGAAGAGGGATTACAGTCTCAATGATTCGGTCCGTCAACTGTTACTTCAAGAGTTGACTTAATACGCGGCTTTCTTTATGACAAAATAACATATTATGATTAACCAATGTGTCGGATAATATTGCTTTTCAGGCACCTGCAACAATCAGAATTGAAATCGCTTTCGTTCAAAGTGCTGTCGAAGGGCATTATACCTCGAGGAATTGTCAGACTGAAAACAAAACAAGGTTTATTTCGAAAGAAATGCTACTCTGATTTCAGCGAAAAAAAGTACTTGACTTAAAGGTCCAGGAGCAAGGCATGGTTTTATGTGCACTAAGACGCTAATAATTTCCAGTTCTTATTTAAAGGCTTATCAGAGAATAACCAAGAATTCTCTGCGATTTGTCGCGTTATTTTCATGCCATAACGATCTTGTCTAGTCAAACTCACTAGCGAACAGCGAAATTCAATTCTTTACTTAGCTTTGTCAGGCTTCGCAACTGCCTGTCTGTTCAGTGTCAGGCATGTTTACCCAGTTTAATGAAGAAATAGAAAGCCGCCATTTTTTTAGCATTCATTCAAGCAACTGTCTCCCGCGAGCCGACTGATAATTGCATTGGTCAAAATAATAACGCACTTGCAGACTTGAAAATATCTGATCGGGATGGAAAACTAGAACAGCTAGTGTGACTAGGTCTCGGTGTACAATCAGATGAAACCGGTTAATGATGTAAGACCAAGATGATAGTTAAAATGACTTGTAAAATGATGTAATAATTCGAAAACACTCTGGCACAGTTAATTTACCTCTACCAAGCTATCAGCCCAAACTGTTTAGTACATATTTTCATATAATCGTCTGAAACTCCCTGAGCCGTAACCAACCTTATTCTCTATTCGATTTATTCGTTCCAACGTGGATTACGGAACAAAACTAGCATATACACTTCATTTTCCTAAGCGTGGTCCCGTTTTCACTCCTCTATTAAGTTCTTTAGCTTAGGAAGGATCAAAGAAACAAACCAAAAAAGAGTTAACTCATACAAGTGCATTTGTGACAGCGAAATGACTAGGTTTTCAGGGTTTTTTTTCACGGCGGAAAACTTGGGAGAAAATGATGAGTTTAAGTAACCACGACGACGATGCCGAGGACAACGACGATTAAAAAATAACTTTATATTTTACCTACGAATCTCGCGATACTCTAAAGTCATTTACTTTCTTTATCAAACTGAATATGGAACACAGCAATAAATTCGAAATGAAATTTTAAAAATCGTGGTCCACGTTCTTCAGAGCGAACGCAGAATTTGGTCATTTCACGTTGTTGTTTTGCAGAGGAAAGCAAAGAAATGTACCACTGAAGAATTATAACGCACGTGCACAGCCATTGCTCTGCTCATTAAACCTTTTGTTTAGCGACGTTGCCGTTGCCGTTGTAGTTTTTTTAAACTCCCTGATAGTTAATAAGGAACGCTTTAAGCACTCTCAAATCAGCTTCTTGACTTCTGAACGTCGAACGCCATTAAGCCTAGCATTTTTTAAGATAGCCTAGAAGCATTAATTAATTGAACTCGACGCTAAAAGACACACTGTTGCTTGTTGTATGTTAAGTGACTCTTACATTTCATAGCTGCGGATATACCTTCACATCGAGCTACAACTCCTAAGATATATCTCAGTGCAGATCTTAATGAATCTAGCCGGTGTTACAGCCGTCCTTCCCGAAAGAAAAAAAAGGAGAGAACCAAATTCTCTCTAATATTTTTCTATTGAGGAGGGCGGCTACAACACGGTTTAAATGGATCAAGTGGACCCGACGTTTCTTTGGCGCAAGCAATTCGGGGAAACTCCATCGTCCCTGACAACTAATATCCAGAAATTGGAGGAGATACATTTCAGGTTTTTAACACATTTTTACGACGACTAAGTCAAATACTGAAATTTTCGGTTGCTTCTTTCTTTTAAATAGTTTTAGTTCTGCATCCTGTAATTAGCAGATTGCGAAAATGAATAGGCCCAACTTCAGGTAATTTAGGGAGCTTAAGCAAAGCATGAAGGCAACGGCATCAAGCACGGCGCCAAACAAATGGTATGATGAGTATAACAATGCGCATGCACGTGCGTTCTAAAGCTTTGTAATTGCACATTTTGCAGACGTCCCCTGCAAAACTACAACGTGTAATGACCAAGTTCTGCGTATTTTGAAGACGGCTAATATTTCTTATTTCCTTTTGGAATTGTTTATTCTGGTATTACACATTTAGTTTCAGCAGAATTTTAGAACAGATCAAGATAATTGCGAAATTGGAGGGTAAAATATATTATTAAATCAATTTTTAGTATGCCTCGTCCTTGGCGTCGCCGTCGTCGTTGCCTAAGCTCCCTAATTAGCCTAAGCTAGTTAAAAACGGCATGAGGGACTAATTATGTTCCACACTTTCCCCATCCGTAGTCCATCACCTTTTTACAAGTTGGGTTCCAGCACTTTTGTCCACAGCATATCTATAATTTTACCATCACTTTTAGTTTCAAATTTATCGTCAGATAAAGCAGCCTTGCAGTCTGGTCTAACAGCACTATAATTTTTTCTATTCTCCACACTGTTCCGATTTTTGAGCCCTATGACACAAATACATTTCACAAATTCACCAAAAATTCAAGATACAAATGGGTTATGTGTTCCTCATTTTTTGAATGCTTTTTTTAACATCAGTCGCCCACAGGGAATAAGATATGAATGAGCACATTTAATTTTTGACTGACAATTTTTATTGGCGCCAGAAGGATCAATAAAACACTTGAAATCTTCGTTTAAAGTTTCTTTTCTTTTCCTTTTTTGACTGATAGCGATCAATGTCTATTACAGACCCGGCGCCTGTTATTTAAATATTTTGTAAATAGCTGATCACGCTGTGGAAGGCCTGCAAATAGAAATGAAAATCTAGCTACATGTCTAAATTCAAGTTTACCTTCTGCAAGCCTGGGAACAAAAAAGGGTAAAGCAAAAATATAAATAAATAAATAAATAAATAAACAAATAAATAAAATTACTCGGCAGACACATCACCGATCGAGTTAGCGTGCAATTCAGGACAGAGAAGAAGTAACACAAATTTGATTTACTTAAAACCCACTTAAAAGCGATGTTATTTTCTTGACAGATTTGTTTGACCGGCAATCTACATGGGTGTCGCGTGCACACATTCACGCTCATTCATTTTAAAAAATTCGATCGAGTCATTACGTGTTGTTGAAAAACATCATTTCAAAAAACGATTTCAAAAAACGATTCCAAGCACTCCTAAGTAACTCAGTAGATTTTATCTCCACCCTACCGGGCATTTCATCAAAACCATCTGCACGCTTTACTGCCACATTCTTCAAAATTGGCCAGCCCTTTTTAACTCTCACTTAAACTATTTATTTTGAATTCGTATTTTTTGTTTCTGCCTTCATTCTTTACGTGCATGATTCTAATTCGCGAACAGTACGAGTCACAAGACAAATTACAAACTGAACGAATGTAGATTGTACTTCGACATTGTTGTACGAAGAAGATGAAGTACTCCGGATATGATGACAGAACAGGCAATATTTCGGTAAAAACTAATGGAAGCTACAGGAAGTGGTGATTTAATAAACACTGCCAAGGGTGTGTTCGAGGATATGAACGGAGATGATAAATTAAAATATGTGCCAAACACGAATGAATAAATCTACGGTATAAAATGTTAACAACTGCTGCTCGAAAAACAACGGAACATTTACGGTTATAATTTAATTTCAGATTGCTAGAAAAACAAGCTCCATTTGACACGGTTCTTGATCGTACTTTCTAATCTTGCAAGAGATGTAATAAGTGGTATTGCTTTCATCGAGGCAGTTGTTTTTGCTCAATTTATTTGATGTCGCTGCAATCTTTCAAATCCTGCTATGAAAAACAATGGCATGCACGTGAGCAGGGAACAATCACTACCAAAACAGGAAAAATAACAAATTTGAACGTCTTTATCCAGACTTACAACTTTGGTGGTCAGTGGCCAAGATCAGGAAGAAAAACATTTTCATGAAAAAAGAGTAAAACTAATAATAAAAATAATAATAACTTTTGGAACAGCCAGAGGCATCGCAAAATCTGAAATTAGAAAACAACAGAAGCGACAGGGAAGGGATGTGCGTGCGTCCATTGCAGAAAAAATCAATACGTATTTACGTATTTATCCAAGTGCTACACAAACGCAAGGGAAATGGAAAAAAAACATAATGATTTTTTCAGCAAAAACCTTTTTCCCATCTGCTAGAAGACATCAACACTATCTATTCATATCGCTTTATTTTTCTGCCGCATTTTATTGCATATTCAACCAAAATCAGGATGTAATCTTTCCAGAAAACGACCAGCTACCCCCAACTGCGTTCGATTACATTCCCACGAGAGTCACTCCTGTACGAATGCGAAATTGATCTGAAAACGATTCCTTCCTCCACCGGAACCGATTTACAAATGGAAAGCAATTAAGTCATTAAAAAGAGGTTTCGCTTCATAAAACTTTCAACCATCACAAAGGGCGCCAGATAATAATGTATAAATTAATGAGTGTAAAGCTTTTAAAAACAGCTCGGTGAAGTACACTTAGTTAAAATACGTTGACAGGTTATGTGATATCATCGGCCGAGTTATTCGGTTGCAGATAGTTTCTACGTAAAATCCAAGTTTATTCACAACAAGCTGTCGAGTACTTGATCAGGAGACAAACTGAAGCCCGGTGAGCAAAGCATTTATTTTCATTTCCCTTCGACCTTTGCTAAGTCATAGCGGTTTTAAGAAAGACACAAGCGTAATCCGAAAAGCTTTTACATTTGGATTTTATTCACAGATTTCTAGTTGCGTTTACGAACAAGTTTTACTCTTTGTCTCTTGTGAGGTCAAGAGAAGCCAAGTGTTGAATTTGCTCACAATTTTGTGCCTGAATAAATTTGTCGAACAAAGAAGCAAAGATCATTCAGGGCAGGATAAAGCATGATAATTTTATCACGTCCGAGTTCCTTTTATGTACTTATTAAAGTCCTTTTCGGTAAAGCGCTTTACATCTCGTTGGGACATCTTTTTTAAATTTATCTACCACTAATTTCTGACGTCTTCTTCATTTATGGTAAATTCTTTGACATTACTTTAAGTTGTAGACAGAAAACATACGTTATATGCCGGCCAAATGGTGACTTCAAAGTTGTGATTACTCTCGCCGAGTCGAATAAATTTTCAGTTCAGGGGAGTGAATGGCTGTCCAAACTTCATAAAACACTTTACTTAAATATGCCACTCTGGTCATATTCATGCTCTAAAAAACATATTGGGAGGCCATAAATGACAGGTAAAATATTTAATATTGAAAGGTGACGAGGGGTTAAATCTATATATATACAGAAGACTGATATTAATGACCTAAATTTTTAAAGGCAATCGTTTGCATTTTGTGCAGGTTTTAATTAACTGATCTACGCCTGAATGCCCGCGTATCATTTAGGTTCCCTTCGCAGAGCATTGAAGTCGATTTCTTGAAAGGTTAACTTATGGACTTTTCTCTGGATATATTGACTGAGGAAGGACGATTTTAAACCTCACGGAGGGTAAATTTTGTTACTGATTTTTTCCCTTTAATTTACCCTTTGGTCAATCGCGGCGTTAAGCTTAAATTCATGATTTGCTGCCTGTCAGTTCAGATCTTTACGTGAAGTCGGTTTATAAACGAGACAAAGTGATGAATTTCTGTCGGTTGTGATGTCCATAAGATTTCACATTGTAAGCTCTGGGCATTTTTGGCTCGCAGATATCTGCCGAGGAAAAGAAGGGGCACTTCTGGTGAATACGTTTTTCTTAGAAGGGTGACGATCGACTTTACGTCCATCACTTGGAGTTTCATTCTTGAGGTATGTAAGCCAGTTAAACAGTCTGCAATCACTAAATCACTCAAAGACTTTAGAGAGGGAACCGTTTCAACGGCTAAAATGCATATTCGCAATTCACTGGGTTTCCCCACAAAAAGGCCAGAGTTATAGTTTAGATTTGTACTACATAGATAAAGACAGAGACTCTTTTAAGACTTCGCACATGAGAACTAATTAAACAAATTAATTCCATAAACGTAGCTATTTCATTAAGTCAGTTTGCGTATGCTTTTGGGTCGTGTGGGTTGACCAACCCACCATTATCTTCCTTTGTTTTCTTTTAACTCTGAGGCACTTTGTAAAGAGATTTTATCAGCTCTAAGAACAGCAATAACACGATCAAATTCCCTGGGAACCCACTCTTCATCGAGGGGTCTTTATCTTTCGCACAGGCGGGACTACACAGGCTTAACTGAGGAAAAGTCTACCTAGTAAAAATCGCTGACGATTGAACGGACGTGCGAATAATGTTAATTGATTTCCTCAAGGTTTTTTCCTTATCGCAAATTCTATCGACGCTGCAATTTTTCAGTCGACTCAATGCCGGTAGAACATATGTAGCCTACATTCTTAATACAACGGCATTTTTTGGTCATAAGCTTCTTATCTCACAGAGATATTCACACTTGAAGCTTCGCCGCCAAAATAAGAGCATATATTTCAAGACCGGAAAATATCATGTTCAACTCGCGCAGCTTAATATCTTTCTAAACAATTTACACATTTTAATTTTGACCGAGGAGAATAAACTCACTTTGTGTTTACGCTTTGTGCTTATCCTCAAACTCTTCTGTTTCGTTCCGTTTCGAGAGAAGTGATTTGAATTACAGAACACGCGATCCCTATCAAACAAACTTGTGTCAGACAAAACGGGACCTTACATTAATTCTGTTTACAAATCCAGCAAAACTGATTTCAAACCGATTTGGCTCACAAACGGAATTGCCTTCCTAAGCTTCTTTAGTGAGATTTGACGAACAGTAAATTGCGTGTCACTAGAGAAAACGTATTTTTAAGTGTTAATTAAGACTGGGTGTTGATTTATTTCGGGGAAAACATCTTGTTAAACTAACAGCCACAATAACATTTCCATTAACGACAATTTTGTCTGTTTATACTGGAAACATTTCATCTTTGTTATGACTTGAAACAGCGTGGTTATGTCTCAAACAACTACTAACAAGAAATTTGGCGCCAGGTCGGAGTCAAATAATACTTTCCTAACACTCACCCCGCAGCGGTGAAAATTAAATGTGTTTTTAATTACTCGCGGCATCGCTCAGACAACGGGGTATCTGACACTCACTGAAATAAAAAGTTCGCAGATTGATCAGTTAAAAGAAACGACAGAGCGACACCGATAACGTCACGGGTTTTCTTGAGAAAATATTGCAGGTAAGCTAGAAAATGATGCCGGACGCGATAGCATTGTTAAAATCTGACTTTCAATGTTCATCGCTAATCCGAATCTATCCCATTCTTCTACAGTCTAAACCAACTTTATGTTTTCACCCCTTTTTCCAAAAATACAATGCTCAAAACTTAACATATCGACCTCATTTCGATGCTAAACTTTACTCGTTAGTCCTCAGTGGAAAAAGAAACGGTTAAAATATTCAGTAGTCCTTACGATGTTAACCAGCTTCAACCTGAAATCGATATGTGTTAAAATGTCTATTATTAAGATACAATAGTGGTCGGAAACAATGCCCATATCATAAACTTCTTTATTTTGTCATTTGGAAGTCTACAACAAAAAAGAAGTTGCCAGAAAAAAAGTCGATTTGCCGATCAGTAAATGTGAATGTTTTATGTTTTTCTGTTTTTGTTTTTTTTGTTTTGTTTTGGTTTTTTTTCATTTTTCGTTTATTTAATGCACCTCTCCCACTGATCAGGAAAGCGAGGGCTCACTGTATGACGGAAATGCTGTGGCTCTTGTGCTTACTTATGTCTTCCATATGTGGAAACTGCCTGAAACAGAAAGCGAACTTGACCTACGTCACAAGTCCTCTGCAACCGAGAAATGACTAGTGCGAGTGTAGTGCCAAAATGGCGGCTAACTCGATAACAAACTAAATAAATTGCAAAGCCGTGAACGAAGATCCTGCTTGATTGAACGTTGGATCTCACAGGAGATCTAATCAGCCAAACTTCAAAAGTAGAACGATGAGAAGTCAAAGACTACTGCAAGGGTGACACAACGTGGTATATTTAAAACAATATTTCGGCTACCCAGAGCAGCCTTCTTCAGGTTTAGATGTTACTAAATTATAAAAATGAAATTACAATATTATATAGTGGTGGATGTCGTAATACATATTTTACACCCGTTTTATCCATGCTTTATTTAGTTTTGTTTTGTTCGTCATTTCCGCCACTCCTTATGTTTTACGACATCCGCCACTATAATATTGTAATTTCATCTTTATAATTTAGTAACATCTAACCCTGAAGAAGACTGGTCTGGCCAGCCGAAATATTGTTTTAAATATACCACCCTTGCAGTAGTCTTTGACTTCTCATCGTTTTGCTAATTTGATGAATTTTAAATTTCTGTGGCCAAATTTTAATTATTGTTCTTACGATGTGCTAAAATTATCTCCCAGGGAACATAAAAAAAAAATACAGAAAAAGAAATTCAAGCCTGAACGGGAGAACAAATCAAAGACTCGTTTCGATTTTACACGGTACCGCTGATTTAACCAAGCACCAACGCGGGCTTGTACCGATAATAAAAATGCCATTTGAGACACGACACGCTTTTTAACTAAAAACTGAGATCTGCAGCATTACCGGTAGGTGATAAATGGGCTTAAATTTTTAATGCGTGATTGTGGAGAAATTGCTGAAAATTTAAACTGATAATTGAGAAACCATCACCTCCCTTCAGAGCCTCAAGATATGTAGAAAGTTGAGGATCTGATTTTACAGTAGAATAAAAAGACCGTTATTTAAATGCTCGGATGAACGCAAATCAAGCAGCCGACAAATGCGAAGAAGTTCATCGATAGTTTTAATAACCGGGAGCCCCAGGCCAAAATCTAAATATGAAAATATCAAGAGCCCGAACATGAGATAAATTCCAAAAACAAAAGCTGTATTTCACGAGTTTATCAGGTGCCAACCACTTTAACCTGGGGGAGTAAATTCGTCTTTGTTTTTGGTTTCTCAGTTTTCTTAGCTTGGGGCGACTTTCATTCATTAAGTGTCGCCGCGTAAATAATCACTTTGATTATTTTGCAACCAGTATTCTATTTAAGGGCATAGTTAATGACGTAAATGTGGTAAATAAGACCTAGTTTTATATGCTTGTAATTCCTTCCGATTCACTTTTTCAAGAAATAGTAACTCCTTCGAAACGCTTTCACCTCTTACAGTAAAAAGCACGTTTGTAAGAGGGAAGCAAATGAAATTAATGAAACCAGTGAAATTCTTCGTCGTCGCTTGGTAACTTTTTACAATCAATCATGTTACCCATAAGGCTACGAAGCCCTAATCTACGAATTACAAATGCGTGCGCAAAGTCATAATAAACTAAGCAACATAGCTATGACAAGCCAGTGTGCTGCGCATCGATAAAAGTGAATATTTTCCAGCAAGGGAACTTATCTGTAAGTAGCCTTCATTTTATAAAGAAACGTTTGTTTAAATCTCTGATGATAACACAACAATATTCGATCCTGTGAAGTCGGGTAAGTTCATTTTAAAAGTCTCAGTAAACTGTTTTAGTCAATTTCGTTTAACCGATGCACAGTCGTAACAGGACAAACAGATTGATACCGGCGCATGAAAAAAAAAAAAAACGCAAAACAAAAGTTAGGCTATTCATTTGTAGTTCAAATGATGCTTAAGAGGCGATGAGTTCTTTTCGCATACTCTGCGTGGAACAAAGAAAATGGAGAAGGAAATCGAGGGTAAGAGATTGTTTTCTGTTTGGCGTCCACCAGCTGCAGACATGAAGCAGACTTACTTATCGTTTTGTGCGACAGTTTTTTTTTTTTTTTTATCAGTGGTGTTTCAATTTCCTCCGGCTAGGCAGTTTATCATACAGCTTCAACCCTTAGCGTAATTACGATCTGTACATATTAATTTCTTCTTCAGATTTTGTTCACCGCAAATTCTCATTTGAGTACCAAGAAATTAAAAAAGAAACCCAAATGGTCTTCCGCAAAGGCAAGTAGACTCAAATTCAAACTCATCTACCAAAAGAAGGATTATTACCAAAAGAATACGTTTGATAATGTCTTGATTACTAGATTGTCTTTTCTGTGTACGTATTGTTTTAGTGTGGGAACAAATTATCCTCCCATACTTCTCAAAATAATTTAAACAAACCAAGGTCTTTTAAATGGGTTCTGTTCAACATAGACATAAATTTGAACTCAGTCATATTCTTCACAACAGGCGATTTGTAATATTCTGTTTTTAATAAAAGTCACAAGCAATCTGTGTTTTTTTTATCTCGCGGCAAGTGATTCATCATTATAGCATGCAGGTATGAAATTCATTAACTAACAATGTTCTTTCTAGTTCACACGAATGACGCATTTCTTGAAAGTACCAGACATCGTTATGCTTGCGGTGATCGACTAACACGCGCTACTTGGCATTTTACATGAGCCAATTATGGGAATGGCTAAGCTAGAGAATGTTTAACCTAGAGATAAGTAAGTTCAAAGAATTTCTAGGATGAAAAAATTTGGATCCGGCAAAATAATATAGAGTGCCGGTAAGTACTATTGAAAGTTATGAAATGTAAGGGAGTTTAGATTAAAAGTATTGAAATACACGAATTGTTATTACAAAAACATAATTACAATAAAAGCGAAAATCACCAAGGTCTTGCTTTTTATTACTATTGAATCCGTCGGTGTACCACCGACATATTAAGAGAAGAAACCGAGATGTCGTTTCTAAATGCAAATTTTAACTAAAAACTTGAGATGTCGATTTTACATGCAAACATTAACAAAAAAAAACGTGATTTCGTTGGCTAACATATGAACAGGTCCAGGAGAACACATTCCCGACTGATCTGACCTTTGCTAGTGGACTCTCTTTCCTTAATCTTCCCACCATAGTAAAACAAAGCGATAAAGACAAACTAAAGGGCAATGTTTACCATGTTTTCGCGTGTGGGCGCAAATTAAGCCTAAGATATCATAATTATCAGCCACAATGAACCTGCATACAAAGTAAAACTCCCGTCAAGGGATTGTTCATGTATCTTGATTGTATTTATCGCTGCCGTATCGCTGTAAGGTCTTTCAACGGTTGAGTGCGTTTCGTTCGCTGTCAAGTAACTTACTGGAAGAGAAATAAAAGCTCTGAACATGAAACCAAGCCAGTCAAATAAAAAAAGAGATAAAATTCGGTTTATTTCGTGCTATAACTTGCCAAAGAAACTGCAAACATTACACGAAGAGGAGAACTGAAGGACTTTCAGTCATAACAGCTTCATCAAATCAATTCACATTTCTCAACCGTAGTTTAGAAAGTCAAGTGGTTGCATTTCCTATCATGTTGTAAACAATTCTACAGAGGTTGCATAGCTCAATTTGATCTGACCTTTTAATATCCCTATATTTTGATTTCTTGCTGAAAGTCAACAGACGAAGTTCCGGTGTTATGAACCTTACGCCGTGTTGCAGTCGATAGATGAGGCTGTCAACATTTCGAAATGTCAGAGCTTTGCTAAAATTAACATTATTGCTCCAAAGCCAAACTTAACGAAAGTCGATGTCAACGCCGTCGATTAATGTGAGCAATCTCCTATTCTGTTGGACACCCCTGCTCAAAGCCGTTTCATCCTTTCAGTGTTTTCCTCTCCCTCCTTTTCTGTCCCTGTCGATCTCTCTCTTTGGGCCGCTTGTCAATCAAGGCTGTTTTCAGTTATCAATGACAGGCAAAATAAAGCTAGAAGTTCGACCTGTCTTTGTTTCTATATACAAAAACATGATTTGTTATATGACCGGCAATATCAACAGTAAATGCTACACGTATGACAGTCCTCCAGGGATTGATAATTGAACAGGTAAGCTATCGGTTGGGTGTTTTTTTTTTTTTTCGGTGCTATCCAAACAACATGAATCAGGCAGCTGGCACACGTTTTCTAAACTAAGACCCACAATTGGCGCTTAAATAGCTATATAGTCAAGTGTCTGTCGGTTGTAAGACATTTGCCTAAAACTTTAGTAGCAACTTACTGCCGTTCAGTGCGGGAATGTTTCGGAGTGTAATGAAATCAAAAACCGTCAGTAAAAGTTCTCTATTTGCGCGGTAAAGTCTGATGCTTTGTAGAAGAGAGTGAGCGAAAAATTCGAGTATTTAGCTTGATATGCCATTCAGACTTTACTCATCACATCTGGTTTTCATTTGATCCTCAAATGGACCGCTTTCCTCTCGCATCATCGTGTTTTCTCGTGTTTTTTGATCCATGAAATCTGATCTGAATCCCAACTAAATGAGGTGATGAAGTTATAGTGACGTTTACCAAGGACTCGTTTTGGCTGAGTGGTGCCTTTTTGAAATACCTTCGAACTCTATTAGACAGAAAGGCATACTGCAGATATCACTAAAGATCACTTTAGGTCATAGTTCATCATGTGCAATCTTAAGATAAATTGGTGCTAATTTGATTTGACACCTAATCTGTTGCTGTTATCGTAAGATCGCGTGAGGAGAGTAAAAACTGCAGCGTTTATTTTGACGATCAAATGTTCTCATTTCGAACACGCACAAATTAATCAAATCGAACCAGTCTAATTTTAGAGAACAGGGACCTCTTGTGAGTTTGTCTTAGGATTAAGTGAGTTAAACTTGTAATAAAGCCGTGCGGAGTACTTTGTTATGAGTCCGAATGGTGCAGGTTACATGTTGACTTGCTTTCTCATACGTCACTCAGCAGAAAAAAATTAGAAATTTTTGCATGTTTTTTCGTCTAGGTCATTCCGAGCGTGAGGGACCTTTTACAGCACCAACGTATAAAACAAGATAGAAACTTATGCTGGCTTATGAAGACAGAAAGGGCTGAAACAACGCCAGATCATACCAGCTAGAGAACACATCACCCAGGCTAGAAGCGGGCAGAAGTAATCGATACCCGTGACAAAAAGAGCTAATCGACATCAAATACTTCAACGCGATCACAGACATTGATATGAAGACGTCAAAGCACATGGAACAATTAATTTAATAACCAGAGGCACGCTAACCATCAACCCGAGTGTTTACACAGCCTGTAATTCTGTTATTTGCATTTGAAGAGTGTTTGAATCGGACTAAAGGCCGCTTTGTAAGTAAACGGTGACACACACAAGTCCATTAGCACCGACTACCGTGAAACAGGCCGCGCACGTCTTGGAGATAACCCGTCACTGGAGTTCAAGCAGAGAGACATTGATAAAACAAAGCATTTCGTGTAGCTTAATTCCAACGTGATAACGGCCACTTGAAACAGGGCAGGCGGGCTACAAACTTGCTAAAGCCTTGACGATTTAAACCAGTTTCCCGTGCAAGACAATTAATGAGAGACCATTGCCATACGTAACACTTTCAAAATGGATGGAAACGACACAACACGGAGCAATGTAACTACTGATGGCCTCGACACACTTAGTTCTCCCATTTTTGACAAAATCTTTAGAATTCTAATCGTTTCTATCATAATCCTCGTCATTGTTGCAGCAGTCTGTGGAAATCTACTCGTGTGCGCGGCTATTTTACTCAATAAGCGCCTTCGAAAGACCACCAACTACTTCATATTCTCTCTGGCCATCTCCGATCTCATGACAGCCTTTTTCTCCATGCCATTTGACGTGGAAGTTCTGTTACATCCATACCAATGGAGCGGCGGTGAGTTCTTGTGCAACTTTTGGACCTTCATGTACCTCATAGCCGCACCAACTTCAATGCTCAACCTTATGGCGGTGAGCTTGGACCGATACCTTGCCATTAGCACGCCGCTAAGATATTACACCGTAATGAAACCCAAGGTAGCCTTGTTGATTATAGCTATAATCTGGCTTTATTCGCTTACGTTTACCACCGCTGGGATGGTCCGTTGGCCCTATTACGAGAGTAGTGTGATAAATGCACTGTGTTATTTTAATATTAACCCGTACTACTCCGTGGTTAGCTCGGCGGTAAATTTTCTTTTACCAACGATGATCATGTGCGTGATTTATTACCAAATCTACAAGATTGCCAGCGCGCATGCCCAGCGCATCGCAAAGCAAGAAGTTCCAACCTCTGTGGCGTCCAACTCTAATGAAGACTCTGCTACCATGACTTCTGAGAAGAAACGAATTAAAAGAAACATCAAGGCGGCCAAGACCATTGCCATCATAGTTTCCACTTTTCTGCTATGCTGGATTCCGCTAACTCTTACTTCCACGGTTGGTGCCCTTTGTAGAGAATGTTTGATAGTAAATGCTGAATTATGGACGGGATTTATGGTGTTAGCGTACATGAACTCTGCAATGAATCCCATATTGTACTCATTCTTCAACCAGCAATTCCGTGAATCCTTCAAAAAGCTCTTTAAACTACAGTTTACATTTCGCTAGATCCCCTCAGTGGTCTTGTTGCTACACAAGTTTAGGTAATGCACCACTGTAGAAAAGGATTAGGTCGACATAAAGCTATCTTTAACAAAATTCCTTGTTGTCTTTGACAACAGAAATTTACTTAGAAAGTTCAAAAGGCAGCAGAACTGACATTTTAACATGGAAAATATCTATGGGGATAATTGAAAAAAATTTGCTACAGAAAATTACCATAACTAAGCCGACGAGCTAAAACGATAACAAGTATATTAATTAATTCCGTACGAGAGGTCACCGGAAACCTAAAAGACTTAATTGGAAAGAAGATTTGAAGTTGGAATGATACGATTATCATCGCACAAAACCACTCATCCGGTCGAGTGAAACAATACAGAGGGCTTTTTGGCACCAAACGTGCATTCTGAATGGTTTAAATTAACGTTGGTTATGTTAACTATGGCTATTTTATGTAATTAAGAAATGTTTAATATGTAAATACTGTATGCCTGTATGGATCACTTCAAGGATGTTTATATTAAGGCATGCGTGAGCGAGGTCCAAACCAAAGGCTTCTTTTGTCAAGGGAAAAAAGAGATAACTAGTCAAAGCAAACATAAAAAGATAATTAAAATTGAAAGTTCACGTTACTGGGCGTTGCTCATTTCAGTTATTGCTTATTAGAATGAAAACAAAGTTGGCATTTAATTCGGTCAGTGTTGTTACCACCCACTTCGAACCAAGTCAGTTGTTCCCGCCGGCTGCCAGTTAAAAGTTCTTTCGCCGGTGTTCTATATTCTTTTCTTGTCTCGCTTGGTATATGTAAAGATTGACGATGTGATAGACATACAACTTAAAAGCTGAAAGAGGCGTCTTTCAGTCTAAATCATAATCTACTGCTTCAAAAACCAGTTGTCACAACACCTTGCGGAGAAAAAGCAGACGGATAATGTCCCCGGCGAAAAGGAATTAAACATCTTTCAAGATGTTCATTACTTTTGATGGAAAAGTAAACAAATTCAATTGTTTAACTCTTGTAAAAGTTATTGGAGTCACGAAATCGTGATATCATACCGGCCAAATAAACAGAAATTTCCTCCCTAACCGCAAGTAGGGCGTATAAGAAACGAGCCGGTGAAACTCAAAGCAGCTGGTATTGTTTCAAAATTTTAATAAGGTAGAGACGTGCTGTAATGCACGGTATTCCTATCGTCCGACAGTAAAAAGATCTGTCTGTCAGGAAATAATTTAATTGCACGTTTTCGACACTTAACTTGACACGGATTCAATACCAAATCCAAATTATTAATTTGAAAGGAAACCGTCAACAGCCAAATCAACTCAGTATAATCAGCTCAAAAAGACACTGCGACTTCCACAAACTACCTCGAAACTCACGTGTATAAAGAACAAAATCATTTTAGGGAAGAGGAAAAGCGTGGGGGACCGGGGTGATAGGGAGGTACATGGAACACGGGCTACGAAACTGCCGACTTCTGCTCGGTTCTTTGGGCAAAAAATGAATTTTTGGGCAGTGGTCTGTTCTTGGCAATATTTTTGAGTAGTTTTGAACTTAAAAGTTTACGAAGAATATCTTTCAAAACAGATCCTAAAATCGAATGCACCCCAGCCCTTAAGATGTTCTTAAGTGTTGGAAAACACGAAACATAGCAAAATGGTCAGTGGCAGAGGACCTCGGAGTGACAGCACTGATTGTGCGCGGTCCTCTGAACGGATTCCTCAGTAGTTCTACTTGTATGACAGCTAGTGTAACCCAGGCTAAGCTCAAGCTAGCTGGTTCATTACCTTCTCTAGTTTCATTGCTTTGTGTCTAGGCCATTAGTAAATGTGTTTATCTGTCTATGTTTTAATGAAGCTGACAATGAAAAACAGAGAGGCATACCGAGGCGCTATGACGACCTTAGGTAGCGCTGACCCCACATAAGGGAATGATACCCGGCAATTAGATCTGGAAGGGATATCAAATGCAAGGAACTGCATAAATTAAGTAGTTAACTGCCATGCTGCCATCAAACATATGGAAATATATATATACTGCTTGAACTTGAATAGAATAAACCTTTGAGAGCGCTCAACCCTGAAATATATATATATATATATTTTTCAATCAGACTATAAAAGAATATAGCAATGTGACTTCTACTCGACCATTCAGTATTTTCGCAAAACTAAAATCAACGTCAAATTCACATGAGTTAGCTATTGTAAGTTATCGAAAATTTTCTTAGAAATCATATCTTGCGTTACCATACCACCAAATTCTCAGAATTAACATATGTCATTTAAAGAAAAGTGAAAACTGGTAACGAGAAATCGCATTTCATACTGTGGTTTTTAAGAGTGATATCTAAAGAAAAGCAAATTGTTAATTGACAATCTCTAAACCCAGTGTATGGGTGCGCGTATACTGGAGGTATGGATCAGACTAACTTCGCTATTGCCTGCCTGCGCGCGGCGGTTTTCTGTAGTTTAGTTGTAAAACATTGCCTATCGCTACGAGGGAGGGAGGGAGGGGGGACATAGCTTCGACTTCTAGACACCCGAGAGCAAGTGTGCACCGTTATTGACAAGCAGAACATTACTTGGTGTACGCTACAATGAATGGTTCCGCATCCAATAGACACATGAAAAAATAAACTAACTAGAAACGAAAAGTAAATTTTGCCAGCTGTTAAGGTAAAAAAGAGACGAAATGTAAACTTTCTGACTAAATAAACTACGCCCTCCTTCTATATAACCAAAGATGACAACCCGACAAAACTTCTGTAATGCAAACAACACTGATAAGTGGCGTTTTGCTTTTTTGGATGGCTAAACTCTCATGTCCAAATAAACCCAGCAGCTGGTTATTTGAGCTGTTTTGCTTAATCAATTCAGTACATGACCTATTTATAAGAGCTACGAGCAAAAAGGTGTTCAGCACCTTGGTTCTGCAGCGCTTTGGACAGTTTGAGGCTCATTCGCTTCTCTCATAAGGCAAATTAAGTTCTTTGTAAAATAACTACTGATCATTGATAACGCTGCAACCTAACAAAACAAGTTAGCGTTAACTTTTATGGTGTGTCCGTTTCGCGATAAATAGTTCGTCAGTTTTCAGCTAAAAACTATGGAAATTGATTATCGGATCTACAACTGGTGGTTCTCATGATTGGAAACCCACTCATTCTGCGTCGAGTGAGGATTTGGTATCAATTCTTCACAGACACCAAGCCCGAGTTTGGCCACTGGACAGACATCACTCCTGAATCACTAGTTCTCAACGGCATTTGTTTCTGTAATCACCGCCAACTGACAAAAGAAAGGCCCTACACTTGAAGGCATTTCTAATTATTACCAGACCATTACATCGGAAGTTGTTTAAACAACATAGTTCATCATTTAAAACATTCCAAACTGATCGAAGCAATGCACTGCCAACTTCAAACAATTTAACCTATAAGCGGGCGCGCCAATAACTTTTATTGTATATATACATATTGTAATTATTTATTACGCGCTTTTATTATGTTATTTTAAACTCCTAGTATAGTTCCACTGTTTAAGGAGTATACTTATTAAAGACTTAAAGACTTAAAGTAGACCAATCCAATGCGTAGTATTTAGTGGATTTGGAACATCGTGGAAAACTCTAAGCTGTTGAATGAGGAAATGAGTGTTTGTGATAACTCAAACTAGAATAGAAACTGACAAAATCGAAAGAGTGAGGAATTGAGAAGCTGTTTACGGAAGTAGAGAATTCTAACATCAGGAAAATATCATTTTTTCCTAATCAGTAAAAACTTGATCATACTAGAATGTCCAAAAACACATGTTTAAAGCACAACATTGATACTCGTTTCCTGAGCAGGGGTCAAGATACGAGAGTTTATCAATTTATTTGCTTAGTCTTCTCCTTCCCCGAAATTGAACATTTTCTTACTTAACGAACGCATAAAACTGCTGCGCACACCTATGTTTTACTTCTGCGATCAATGTTCGTGCTATTTCCACCGACGAGCTTGACTAAACTTTTCGTATTGGTAAGTTGAAAGCCACTTTTAAACACCGCAAAGGAGATTTTGTAGTCGCGTGACGAGTCGGGTGTATTCTGAAATCCCTTTCGGGCAGGTTAAGTACACCGAGACAGTGGCGCAAGAATTCTTCAGTGCGGCCCGACATCACGAGAAAGCGACATTATTCTACATGTATCTCATTCTTTTCGCTATTCCCTGCTGCACGTGCTATGCAGATAATTGTTCAATTAAAGGACAGACGCAGTGTACACCATGAACTAAGGAGGGAACTGTTCAACCTTTCAATGATCAGATCAACACAACGACCAAGAATACACGAACGGCAATGAATTCGGACACACGTCAATAGCTAAGTTACATGGCTGAATAGAACCATCCACGGACAGCTTATCTTAACGGATATGTAGATAAACAAAGTAACTAAGTTACTCGGAAAGGACACAAACTCTTGCCTAGTTCCTGTACGGCTTTCTTTCAGGTCTTCCCGGTCAATTCATTTTGGTGACGTATCGAAAACGAACGCCCCGCACCACGTGACCCAAAGCGATTGACCGCGGCTAAATATTGAGGCCTAGGAACTAGGCAGTATTAACTCCAACATTCCAAACTTATCACACGTAGGTTGTGTAAAAAGAGCAGATTTTATTGACTCTCGTCCTGTACAACCTGATCAACCGCTGGCCTCTATATTGATATCCACTGACTTCTCGGAGGTCTTTTCCACCAAATGAATGTGAAGTGACCCATCTCTGGTTGAGAAACAAACAGTTAAAAAATTAATTTGCAACAAAACGAATGACAAACAAGAAGTAATGAAACCGAAATACAAAAGGACATCGTTCATTAATGCTTTCATCTTTACTCTCCTTACCGGTTCGTTTACCTTAATTATTTGAAGAAAGAAGGGTTTTTCTCAAAAAAGTGGGCTTAAAGTTATTGAAAATGAAAAAAAGCTTATCGGAAAACGTAAATTTTAAAGAAAACGGGCGATTGACTAAGTAACAGATTTACTGTAATTCAGCGACTTAAATTAAAGTATGTTCCTTTTTCCTCGATTTCTCGGTCGGTACTGTAAGATACGGATCCTCGTTTTAACCAAGCTGGACTGTTGTATCCTAACCTTCTTATGTGAAAAGTCCCAATGATTTGTGCTTCCCCCTTTGCCATCGGTGGGATATCTTCAAGAACCACCTATTTTGACAAGAACATTAGATCTCTTTACAGACTTTCTAAAACTCACTGGATTTACTAAACATGCGATCGCATTTTTTCTATATTTCAATGTGATTTGACTGTAAGACAATAAGTAATGTGAGAGCTTTACATGGGTCGCAAATGATCCCTAAATTCATTTAAAAATTAAGTTCACTGAGTTGTATTTTCAAAACAAATTTGCTAATGTGTTCTCCAAGTTGAACTGCGAGTAGCTCAACTTGGAACAGGCGAATTAAAGAAACAAGCAACCCACCTTGGCCACGAGAGTCTTTCCAGGGTCGTTAGGTGTGTCATCATTAACTTCATATACACATAAACAAACAGTCTCCTAAGGGGTACAGGAAAACATAGAAAGAAAACAAAGAATAAAGCAGCAATAAACCATGCAAAACCTTCAAAACTTAACTATCATATAACTTACCAGGAGGGGCTGTAAGCAGGTTAGATCAAAATATTTGGCCAATCACTTAGCTTAATTCAAGCAGCCGCATAATTCGCAGCAGAGAAGAAGTCATTTTGGAGATAAGATTTTGCAAATTTCGGCTATTTAATAGCATTTGTTGCTGTTTGGAGCAGTGCTCTCTTTGAAATTATCATATATTTTCATTTAAGTCAAACCCGTTGTTTTAATCCGTTTCAAGTTTTCGTTTCCTTACTGGGGTTCAGTTCTATCCTTCTTGTTTTGAACTTTCAGGCTCTTTGAGCAGACACCTCTTCCAAGAGGCAAAATACTATAAAATTACTCACACTAAGCTCTAAATCTCACATCGAAAAGTCCTTTCCCGGTCAGAAGAGAATGCTGATTTTAGATGGGGATCTAGAGCAACAGAAACACAAACCTGATTATCTACAGAGGTTGTGAAATTATGTGTTCTTCTTGAAGGGATAGGAGTGTACTTGGGTATGATTGGACATAAACAGGACTCTGCTTCTTCTAACTGTGTAAATAAATACATAAGAAATTAATTATCACAAGTTTTAAAACATATTTCACACATTAACATGAACCTTGTAAATGACCTGGCTCCCCACAAGTCACATCCATCGGAGTCTGGAAGCACATGGGCTCGCAATTTGCATATGGAACCACTAGTTACATGTATCATATCACTAGACCATGGCAACCTTCAATGTCACAACATACTCAGAACACGAGAGAGGGGGTATATAAAAAGTTGAAGTTATAGACTGAAGGGAACTAATTAGGAGTGCGCCTTTTAAGAGATAAAAACTTAAAAAGATATTGGGGCTTACCAAAGGCTTCAAGTAATTGCATTGTTCAACCAGATAGTAGAAACAGACTGTGTACTCACCATCACACTGATTGCTTTTGATGTACATTCCACTTCTAACTCATTATTGAATTGCTCTTCTCTCCCTTGAAGCAAAGATGCCTTGACAGATTAACAAACATAGAACATGAATTGTGCAAAATCAGCTGGTGAGGTTATGTTTCTTTGGTGAAGGGAGGGAAATATCAAGAATTCACAGATCTACCTGAATGGCCGCTCCATGTGCTAACACACTGTCAGGATCAATGGATTGACAAACTTCTTTTCCCCCGAAATACTCCTGAACAAGCTGCTTGATTCTGGGAATACGAGTTGAACCACCCACTAAGATAACCTGAAAAATCAAGCAAATGTTTAGTTAGAGGTGTGACACCCAAATACTCCAACGGAACCTAGTTTTGGATGCTGGAGCAAACCACTAATACTAACCGCTTATCAACCAGGAGGGAGGTTAATAAGTTGTTTATTATACTGTATGGCGTTTTGCTTTGTCTTTGCAGGCCCGTAATCGGCCCATGGGCATTACGGGAACATAATGCCTACAATTAGCCAAACAGAGTGTGCGTAAGATCAGCTACAAATACAAGCCATAATAATAACCTATAAAAAAGTAACGCAAATATCTTGTTAGAACTTAATAAGTTACAAGTAACAATCTAGTCTACTTTTAAAAATCAACATCTTAGAAATCAAAGTCACTGTACTTAATTCCAGTCACTGTAGCATATAAGGTGATAAGAATAAATTGCCGTGGATGAAGGATGCTAGTTTGCCCCAGGTTGCTCCCTGTTCTACTGCATTGTTCTAATTACACTGTATGTGCTAGAATGTGTCTGTGCTCCTTGATAAAGAGAGAGAATGTGAGTTTTAGTGTCTCAAACAAGGTCAGGAGCATTGGATCTGGAATTCCATGCAACATGATCATGGGTATCAATGTTTTTGTGACACCACTTTATTTGCCAGGAACACATCTTACCTGGTCTACTTTGTCTTTGGCAACATTTGATGTTGCAAGAACTCTATCAATAGCAGAAAGGCTTTGTTGGAATAAACTGAAGCAGAGAGACTCAAACCGAGCCCTGTAAAGAGAAAAAAAGACAACAGTTTGCGTTATTACATTGATAAAGACAACCACACTGACTGTGAGGTAGACCACTGACAATACCTTGACACTGTACTTTGCATGTCAATCCCATCATAAAGAGACTCAATAGCACAGGTCGCTGTATCTCTGGAAGACAGAATATGTTTACAATTTTCAGCGCCTGCCATTAGTTTGGCCATTGCTCTGGCATTGCCTCTGACATCTTGTTTCCATTGCCTACAGTGAAACCAAGAAGGAAATGCTTGTTCAGTGTGACTTAAAAACAGAGGATTATTTTGAAGAATGCAAATTCTTTCAGTGATAAATTATTTTTAATGAAAAGTTCAAAAATGCACAAAGACCTTTGAAACTCAGCAGCAAGATGTTGTGATAACAACTCATCAAATTTTATTCCACCTAAAGTTGTGTCATGTTCTGTGGATACAACTCTGTACATTCCACCATTGACAGCCAAAACAGTGACATCAAGGGTTGTTCCTCCAAGTCTGTACACAAGTACTGTCCTGAAAGTATAACACAGCTGACTCAACTCAGTGTACTGAAAATAATTCAGCCTGACTGTAAAATCATTAAATTGGCAGTACTCTACCATCACTGCATGACAGGTACAGATGGTGCAAGTGTTACATGATGGTGTGTATCACAAAATTGAGTCATATCACCAACAAAAGAAAACATGGGATACCCTGCCAAGTAGGTTAAGTTAGCTAGTAGGTGGCATGGCTTGAAATCCTGCAACATACAATACTAGTGATGCCAATTTCAAACTGGGATCTTATGGGTCAAAAAGATGATGAAACAGTGAAAACCACAACATACACGTGAACCCACCTCACAGTAGCCCGGTCACTTTGTCCAATGTCTGTTCAGGAAAAACACTCCATAAATGATCATATACAGGATATTACATGGTGGCAAGAGGATATGAATTTTATGTTTGAGTGGCAAGAACTATATCTCACCCATTCCCTGCGCTCACTCGTGAGATATTGTTCTTGCCGCGAGAGCATAAAATTCATATCTACAAGCTAATGTGTAATGTTAATGCTTTTTATTACATAGACATGCTGATGACACCGTTTTTGATGATTTTCCGAAGATTTCTGACCACTTTCTGAAGATTTCTGAAGATTTTCCAAAATTGTTCCGATGGCCAGACGAACATTTCTGAACATTTTCCAAGCATTTCCAAACATTTTCCAAAGATTACCAAAGATTACTGAAGACAACCAAAGAAGATCCAAAGATGTTTTAATCATACACCAACAAATTTAATTGTAGTTAAAGGGAGAAAAGAGAAATGTTATCAAACTCAATATCTTCACATGTGAGGATATCATATCATTTTTATCAATTTGTTACCACTCGGTATACCACTGACTTTTATATAATAAAATTTGTGATGTCACATCGTGATTGACAAGTGATTTGGGAGTTTCAATTGAAATAGGATTTCATGCAAATTGTGCATTTAAAACATTTAAACTCTTCACTCTTGGTATGGATGGTTACCTGAAGGTGCTCAATTTAATTTTTAAATGCTACTTGAAAATTAGACAAATTTCATTATCACCACGCTTACCTCATTACCAAACAATAAAGATCAGATTGTATTTTGTGAAACTGATCTAAGCAGAGATCAATGAAACAAAAATTATAAATATGAAGGAGTTACATAACAAAGCACGTTGTCTCTTCACTTTCATTGCCAATAGTTTACTGCTTATATGCTTTGTGACAGAATTAAGATCCATAACATTTAACTCTGTTTAAATCTATGACTGTTTACCATAAGCCAGAGCTGCTGCAGCAGGTTGACTGATGACCCGAAGCACATCAAAGCCAGCATCTTCTGCTGCCTCCCTAGGAAATAATAAACAAAAACAACATGTTATACATGTACATGACATCATGTATTGATTTGTAAGTGGTTGGCTACTGGCCAATCACAGTCTTTGCACCATGGTCAGTTGAGGTACTGTTTTTACTACATGACTTTGTATAGTTGATAAACTTACTTAACACTGGGTTGATAATGTTGATAAAATACCTTATGGCTGCTCTTTGTTCATCATTGAAGTGTAAAGGTATAGTGATCACAGCTTCTTCAATATCATTTCCACCATTGGCCTGAGCAATTTCTGTGAAAAGGAAGCAGTCAACGAAATACTTCCAGTTATACTGACATTAATCAAGGACAATCCGTGGTACAACTAGGAACTATCTAAGGGACTAATCAATGGTAAGAATTACAAATGTATAGTGGCAGACTGACCAAACAGAATTCTATTTTTATTATGGACAATGTAACAATGTAATTAAAATTAATCTTTACCTAACAGTTTTTGAAATATCATCCTGACAACTTCTTTAGGGGAGAAAAGTGTCTTTTTGTCATTTAACTCCAACTCAAAGAAGGGTTCTCCATCTTTATCAATAATCTGCAAGGTAGTCAAGAGTTCATTTTATCAGTTAGAAAAATTTTCTATTATAGGCACAAATATAGAAGCCAAGTTAAATACTAACAATTAAAACTTAGTTCTCACATTTCATCTGTTTTATTTAAATATAAAAGAAATAACTACCTGACAATCAGATACCTGGACTTCTTCTTGAACTGCATTATCAGAAAATCTGAAACCACAGACATTCAAAATTCAACATGGTTAATTTCTATTGCTAGATTTTCTGTTTACTAGATATCCAAACTTGATGTAATGTGGCCCTCATCAGTGGTCAACAGTACCTTTTATAAGGAGCTCCGAAAAACATGTCACTAGATAGTATTAACTTAACTAATAATTATTTCAATTGATACATTCAATTAATGTGATGCCTCTCTGGCTTTATTAACTCAATTAAAGTAAAGTTAAAGGCAAAGGCAAACATATCCCAACATGTAACTGACACCCCATTTATATGGTCTCAAGTACCAAAGACAACCCTCCCCCTGAGGCAACTTTATCAAGCGTTATTAGTGAAAACATACTCCCTGTAGGCTGATTCAAAGTTGACCCTGCATGATTATTCATAATCCTTATTGAATAATCTGATGTACAAATACAGTATCATCCCTCTTTCTTTGAGTTTCTCTCGGTCATTTGATCAAAGTGGGCATTGTGGAGTTAATTTTCACTTCTCTGATACAAATTTCTGCTTTAAATCCCACGCTTAGGAATTACATGACACTCCCCTTGCTAAGAGTTGTTCTGGTTAGGCAAGCCAAAGTGTTTATATGAAGAAAAGTTGTCCCGCTTGCCAGGGTTACCCTGCCTGTGAGGCGAGACAACTCACCCATCTGAGTTGTCTCGCCCCCCAAGATGGTTGCACAATCCTCATGTAAATGGTTGGTTGAATTTTGCAAATAAGTAAGCTGAAAGTTACCTCAGGCAGGGTAACTCAGGGGAAGGGTTGTCTTGGGCACCCAAGACCATGCAAATGGGGCCTGAATGATACACAGGCAAATGTCTCACCTCAGCCCAATAATCTTGCTTGCTCTTGCCATTGTGTTCTTGGCATTTCGAATAAGGCCATGTTTAGCAGGAAGACCAATGGACTGACAATGAAAAATATAATCATGACATGAATCAATGACAAAATAAAATAATGAATAACATACCATTTGCCAGTGTACCTGTTGTAGGTAATTTTTTTCTTCAGGTAAATTTGATTTTTACCTAGGTAATATTTTTTTAACTAGGTAATTTTAAAACAAATTTTTTTACCTGGATATT